GTGATGGTCCCAGAGCCATTGGTTAGTGGCTCTCAGTTAAAGACGTGGTGATCATGGCGGTGTGGGAAACACGATAACTTCCTTCTTTGTCAGTAGTGTTGAATGTGACCCGCAAGAGAAGCCCCAAGTTTTATTCCTTTTAACTTCCCCCCGCAAGCTGAACCAGAATCCTCTCCGCATGTGTCGTGAGTTTGCTTTACAGGGGACTGCACCCGCTGTAAACAACCTGTATTTGGTGGCCGCCTCACCGCCCCACTTGCCAAGGACACCACCGTTAAGGGAACCATTCACACTGCCCACAGTCTCTGAGATTCGTACTATTGTATGTAAATACTGACGGAAGAACGCATCTAGGTACGGTAGTGTCAGTAAAGTTTTGAAGCCACTTAGACTTTCATTACAGCATATTAAGTAAACCTCAATTTGGGGAATGTGGAGAGTTAATCAAGTCTCACAACATAGATGTTAGTGATGGTGGACGTAACACACTAACCGTCAATACACTCAAATGTGCCGCACTTTAAAAGCATTTGTATTTTTCTACAGAATCCACCTCTGGAAAGTCAATTTTCTCGTACAGAATTTTCAAGATTGTAGTTAGTAGCGACACTACATTACTCTATAAACAATCACGATTACAAGATTCTTGGAAACAAAGAGAAATAAATAAGCCTACTAAGTGAAGTGGTTACTGATACGTGACTAATTAGAACCTTGAAGATAAGCCAGGTAAACACACTGATGGAACACGTACAGTCAGCGGCGGTCACCAACAAGCCTCACACTACCAGTCAATGTCCTCGACTCGCTCTACTGCACCAGTCATGACATCGTCCAATAGAGAATGTCTGAAGTCAGTTAATAACCGGTGTATAGAGTCGGTCAATACCCAGTGCGCCTCACGGGTCACTAAACACCCCGGCGAGACAGACTCATTACAGTATTATCGGCTCTCAGATGCTCTCCACCGGGCCAATCTAACCTGCCATGAGATTAACTTTACACTACATGTATTTGCGAGATGACTGATACTCTCTCCACTCGATTACTGTGTGTATGATTATTTTTGAAGCAATCTATCTTCATTAAAAAGAACAAACAAACATATGTACGACATTTTATTGCCACCGAATGGAAATTAATATATCATATTAAGTATTGTACATTTATTGTTATTACAGTATTACTAGTTAATATTTTTATTATCATTATTATTAGTACTACAACTACTACTACCACCGGTACTATTACTACTAATAATACCACCACTATTGTTTGTTTTGTTTTTTTTACGTGGCCTCATGCCTCCCCCAATAACCATACCTTCGCCGCCATTTTATTACCTTAAAATTAACTATCCCAATACATAAGTAGCTACACTGGCTGTGTTGAGTTAGTTGAGCCGCAGATCTATGCGGCATTCAGTGACTGTTGCCTCAAATTCGATATCTGCGACTGATGTCGGCTTTGGGGCCGATGCTCTCCTTCCCCTGAGGCAAAGCAAAGCAGACCTAAGCAGAGAGAAGAACCGACGACATCTCGACCAGGCTGTAACATAACTTCTGGGCTGCTGCTTCCGTTCAGATGACACCTCCGCGAGTCTGGCGTAGAAGCACCTTGCACTTGGTCCCATTCCACCAGAGGTTGTGAACACAAGAGGATTGAAGCTGCCTTGATCAACGTTCTGAATTCTCTCCCCGTATGCCCAAATCTTGTCGTTATCATTCCTCCTGTGTGCAGCATCGAGAGCTAGGTTACGGTGACATGCGGCTATGGGATAAAAAATCCTTGTGTCAAAATAGGCTCGCTGTCCGCACGTCCAGAATCCTCGAGCACTGACGTCGACACGGCTTCGTTGGACGTGTTTGAAGTCCTGTGACGGAGGTTCTCACCGTCCAATGGAAGGAGGGGCGGTTCCACCATGACGTCGTGGCAGATTTCCTCCAATAGATAAGTTGTTAGATTCCTTACTTCGTCATGCCTCATGAACACGAAGCCCCCTTTCTTGCACACCATGGCGTGGTCGATGTCATAAGATGAGCCGCACACGCATTGGGAGGGCAAACCTTCTACGGACCAACCGTACCTTAGAGCAATGACATCTGTGAATCACCACTACTACTACTACAAACAACTTACTACGATACTACTATTATCATTAATATAAAATTTACCTAATTAAATGCCTTACTTTCACTTACATCTTCAACATATCAACAAACTATTACACCAGCTACAAAAATATTACACGCATCATTCATTTTTATTCTTATTTATGAATTACTCCTTTCGATAAATGTCTCTCTAAATCAAGTTTCAACATAGACACCAACCACACTTCACTCGGGAGGAACTTACAATTGGTCAGCATGTCATGGAGATAACCAGCCAATCACCAATGTAGCCCACCGATGACGTCATTTCCTGGATGCCTTTATACAATAACTCGAATATCACACGACACTGGTAAAAATATCAACGTCATCAACACTCGTCCAAATCCTTTCTTCCACAATATACTACTATTACCTTACCTTACCTAACCTAACCTAACCTAACCTAACCTAACCTAACCTAACCGTGAACAAATAGATCAGCCTAGATTACACATGACACACAAACAATAATACAACTAACACCCACTTAAACTATAGTAATCATGTCCACTCGCTCCAAAAAGTCGATGAATTTCAAAACAAACACCGCGACTCCTGAGCACCGCGACTCCTGAGCACCGCGACTCCTGTTGTCTCCGTAGGGTTGTCAAAATCCTCCGTCCGTTGTGTCATATTGTCTCACATAAAATCGTAAAGATACTTTTTGGAGGAAGTTACACAGGCGAATTCAATCAGCCTCCATCATACACATGTCTTCAATACACACAAAGGATGAGGATAAAGCCACTGAGAGTCACCGAGATGTGTGGCCCGAGTCTCCCACCTCACCTCCAACACCTGCTGAGGACTGATGATTTGTGTGTGTGTGTAATACAATACACACAATAATAATAATAATAATTAACGGTTTATTGAAAAAGTTCTGCAGCCCGAAGGCTGAAAATATACATTGGACATAAATGACTTATTACATACATTGGTGGTTTAACAAAAGCCTTCATTAGAGAAAGGTGAAGGAACATACAGTGAATATACAGATTATTGTAGGTGTTGAACAGCAAAAACATAGTGTAGTAACTCCCTCCCAGATGGTGTTAGGAGGGACCTCACGTGGTGTAGTAGTTTCCTCACAGATGGTGTTATGAGGGGCCTCACGTGGTGTAGTAATTCCCTCACAGATGGTATGAGGGGCCTCACGTGGTGTAGTAATTCCCTCACAGATGGTGTTATGAGGGGCCTCACGTGGTGTAGTAATTCCCTCACCAAATGAGCAGTATGAGGGGCCTCACGTGGTGTAGTAATTCCCTCACAGATGATGGTGTTATGGGGCTCACGTGTAGTAATTCCCCTCACAGATGGTGTTATGAGGGGCCTCACGTGGTGTAATAATTCCTACAGATGGTGTTGTATGAGGGCCTCACGTGGTGTAAGTAATTCCTCACAGATGGTGTTACTTAGAGACCTCGTGGTGTAATAATTCCCTCACAGATGGTGTTATGAGGGCCCTCATGTGGTCTAGTAATTCCCTCACAGATGGTGTTATGAGGGGCTTCACGTGGTGTAGTAATTCCCTCACAGATGGTGTTATGAGGGGCCTCACATGGCGTAGTAATTCCCTCACAGATGGTGTTATGAGGGGCCTCACGTGGTGTAGTAATTCCCTCACAGATGGTGTTATGAGGGGCCTCACGTGGTGTAGTAACTCCTTCACATATGGTGTTATGAGGGGGCCTCACGTGGTGTTGTAATTCCCTCACAGATGGTGTTATATGAGTGAGGTGTGGTTCCAGGCCTTCCTATCGTAGACGGATTAACACATCGCTGGTAGTTGGGTCTCACGGGCCGTTATCACTGGGTACCTGGGACCTCACTGTGTGAAAGGTCAACTTGGGTACCACTGTTACTGTTGAGTTGTTCTCACTGGCTTAAGCACTGTTCACCACTGTTCACCTCTGTTTAACACTGGTTCCATTTCTTTCCTAAATGAAATAGTAACTTCTGGCGTGAACTTGTTGATATTCCGGTGGGGAGGAGGGTTCAGGGGAGAGAGTTGGTATGGGCCAACATAACAGTTGACCTGGCTGCTCCGAGAGGAGCGCCAGGTACGTCTTGACCCTTCGGTGGTCAAGGATGTAGTGTGTGTGTGTGTGTGTGTGTGTGTGTGTGTGTGTGTGTGTGTGTGTGTGTGTGTTTTTTTTTTTTTTTTTTTTTTTATATCTACCCCTCACTGTCTGTTCCTCGTGATGGATAAAGTGCTGTATCGATAACCGTTAAGTAAAAATTATCCTTAATAAAATAAAATGAGTGTGTGTTATGTTGTGTTGTGTTGTTATAAATATGTGAAAATAAAACCTGACAGTTTGTACAAGACCCGCTGAAAGTTGTTGATGTTATAAGACTGTGGGGGGGGGGGGTGGTCCCTTTCTTGTAGGGTGATTTCTGGGTTATTGTATTCACTCATACCAAGCGTTGATCTTGCTTTTTAATGAGCTTTACTAAATATTGAATATCCATATTAAATTTTTTTCGATCTCGTTGAAGAGATTTCAAGCAGTGTTTTGATGGAGTTTTATCGGGGATGAGAAGCCAATCTTGGTTGTCTTTTGTTTCCACATACATTTTAGTGGAGAATTTTGTCCAATACTCATAAAACTTATTGACATTTTTTAATGTGGTGCTGCTTCCTCCGAAGCTTGGTGGTGGCAGGTTATCGGTGTTTTCTTTGCTTTTCATCTCCCACTTAGAAATCTCTTGGAAGAGTTTTCGGAAAACTGTATGAAATCCGGTGTCGGAGTCTGGGGGGCCGGAGTAAGACTTACTTGAACAGTGAACCCATAAGTTCACAGTTCCCTGGGATTCGCATTGGGAAGTGGGCGTTTCTTTTTATATCTTCTCCAATTTCTGGGATTTCTTCTTCTCCTGTTTCTGGGATTTCTTCTTCCCCCAGTTGTGGGATTTCTTCGTCTCCCAGTTCTGGGGTTTCTTCGTCTCCCAGTTCTGGGGTTTCTTCGTCTCCCAGTTCTGGGGTTTCTTCTTCTCCCTGTTCTGGGGTTTCTTCTTCTCCCTGTTCTGGGATTTCTTCTTTTCCCAGTTCTGGGATTTCTTCTCCTCCCAGTTCTGGGATTTCTTCTCCTCGTTCTTCTGAGAGTACTTCTCCTCGCTCTTCTGAGAGTAGTACTTCTCCTCGCTCGTCGGAGAGTTGTTCTCCTCGCACGTCTGAGAACTATTTTGGCCACACTGAACTTCGTTCAGAGCGACATACGCAGCCTGTATCCTTTGGAATGTCTTGGTGGCTTCACGGTCGTCGGGGTTCTTGTCTGGATGGCATCGCCGTGCCAGATGAAGGTAGGCCTGCCGGATCTCCGTTGGGTTAGCGTTGCTGGTAACATCTAATACTTGCCGATGGGAAGTCATTTTGAAACAATATTGTCAAGTTGCAGTACTGCGAATAGGAGGTCAATTTGAAAAACGGCTTCCAAATTCAAAGACAACTTGGAATATTTAGCATCGCTCTGTAGTGAATATAGTTTTAAATGTGTAGTTTTAAGTGTATAGTGAAGACAGCTTAAAGTGTATAGTAAGGATAGTTTTAAGTGTATAGTGAAGACAGTTTAAAGTGAGTAGTAAGGATAGTTTTAAGTGTATAGTGAAGACAGTTTAAAGTGTATAGTGAAGACAGCTTAAAGTGAGTAGTGAGGATAGTTTTAAGTATGTAGTAAGGATAGTTTTAAGTGAGTAGTGAGGATAGTTTTAAGTGTATTGTGAAGACAGCTTAAAGTGAGTAGTGAGGATAGTTTTAAGTGTATAGTGAAGACAGTTTAAAGTGAATAGTGAAGACAGCTTAAAGTGAGTAGTGAGGATAGTTTTAAGTGTATAGTGAAGACAGTTTTAAGTGTATAGTGAAGACAGCTTAAAGTGTGTAGTGAGGATAGTTTTAAATATGTAGTGAGGATAGTTTTAAGTATGTAGTGAGGATAGTTTTGAGTGTGTAGTGAGGATAGTTTTAAATATGTAGTGAGGATAGGTTTAAATGTGTAGTGAGGATAGTTTTAAGTGTATAGTGAAGACAGCTTAAAGTGAGTAGTGAGGATAGTTTTAAGTATGTAGTGAGGATAGTTTTAAATGTGTAGTGAAGACAGCTTAAAGTGTGTAGTGAGGATAGTTTTAAATATGTAGTGAGGATAGTTTTAAATATGTAGTGAGGATAGTCTTGAGTGTGTAGTGAGGATAGTTTTAAATATGTAGTGAGGATAGTTTTAAATGTGTAGTGAGGATAGTTTTGAGTGTGTAGTGAGGATAGTTGTGAGTGTGTAGTGAGGATAGTTTTAAATGTGTAGTGAAGACAGCTTAAAGTGTGTAGTGAGGATAGTTTTAAATATGTAGTGAGGATAGTTTTAAATATGTAGTGAGGATAGTTTTGAGTGTGTAGTGAGGATAGTTTTGAGTGTGTAGTGAGGATAGTTTTAAATATGTAGTGAGGATAGTTTTGAGTGTGTAGTGAGGATAGTTTTGAGTGTGTAGTGAGGATAGTTTTAAATATGTAGTGAGGATAGTTTTAAATGTGTAGTGAGGATAGTTTTAAATGTGTAGTGAGGATAGTTTTAAATATGTAGTGAGGATAGTTTTAAATGTGTAGTGAGGATAGTTTTAAATGTGTAGTGAGGATAGTTTTGAGTGTGTAGTGAGGATAGTTTTAAATGTGTAGTGAAGACAGCTTAAAGTGTGTAGTGAGGATAGTTTTAAATATGTAGTGAGGATAGTTTTAAATATGTAGTGAGGATAGTTTTGAGTGTGTAGTGAGGGATAGTTTTAAATGTGTAGTGAGGATAGTTTTAGGTGTGTAGTGAGGATAGTGTTAAGTGTGTAGTGAGGATAGTTTTAAGTAGCCTATGTAGTAAGGATAGTTTTCAGTAGTAAAGGGTCGTTCAGTACACTACACCGTCGCTCGGGCAGTAGTACATGTGATAAAAGTGGGAGTTCTTCAGGTTTGTGTACTGTCACCACCACTGTTGATTATACGAGTACAGGTGTTTACAGGTATGGCAGAGAGGGGGAGGAGAACTCGTATGAGAGAGACAGACAGATAGAGAAAACTGAAATACAGACAGACAGACAGACAGACAGACAGACAGACCATCAAGTGAGGTAGACTGTGATGGAGGTACACTCGGAATCATAATCTCTAGCCCACCTGGGTCGGTGCTGGAAGTTAGTACAGTGTCCTTTCTGGACGGGGGCCCCCACTAACTGTCACGAGGCAACACACGCACGAACACACGCAGTCATAGTACGGCTGTATAGATGACATTATGTATAAATATTGTATATGGCATTTTATACTCTGCATTATCTTCATTATATATGAACACGAAGAAAAATTACTATAGGTTGTAGTTACGAAAGTATGAATGGAAATAAACACTTCCAAACCACCCAGTGAGCCCACACAACGTTTACAGTGCTTGTGTGTGTGTGCCAGACCACGATGCTTCCACCACACCCCATCATTCACGTAACTATATGAAAAATCGTGTTTAATTTAACTATATATTTCAAAAACCTTAGATTACATGTGGATCAGTCACTCCTCATTTGACACACTTATAGTGTAATGCTTTGACCATCCCACCTGTGCACATGGAGGCCCACGGTAACTCTCACGGGGCAACATACACACGAACACACAAGTTATGATATGAACCCTTCCAGGCTTCACTATCATTATCATGTTATGTTCATCGTGCTCTGTATCTTGGTAACTAGTCATAGTATCAATACATGACAGTGTTATTAGTATAATAGTGTAACTTTTTACCTACAGTTATTGTTGTAAATCATGGACAGGAAGGATACATAAATTGTAATATCAAGTGTATGGTTCGCTCAAAGCCACCCCAAGTCAGACAACGCGTCACACAAAGTTGCACTGTGTGTGTGTGTGTGTGTGTGTGTGTGTGTGTGTGTGTGTGTGTGTGTGTGCGTGTTCTGTAACATTAAGCTTCATCCTTAGTAGGTAAGATGTTTCATAAAGAGGTTTCTCCCATTCGTCATTGTGAGCATCGTCCCAGAGCACATTGTTTCCATCAAAACCATGGTTCATCCTTATTTCCCTTCTTCCGTGTAACTATATCCATATGGCTAAGTGCTTGCTTTTCAGAGAGAGAGAGAGAGAGAGAGAGAGAGAGAGTGTTCATCTGACACTGAATATCAAAAGAGTTTAACCTGATGTGACATATATAGTTGTACTCTACCTCAACATAAACTAAGATTAGTTTAGTCGTCTGTAAACCTTGTCATTATTGTCCAGTCATGACCTTTGTTGTGTACAGAGGACCGTGTTGTGGTGGTAAACTTGGTCGCCTTTATTGGCAAACCCATGTTGACTCGGCAGTGTTCATAACTCTCTTCTTTTCTTTCTGCGAGTCTCAACCTCTACTGCATCTTTTCTTCACACTATGTTTATTTCATGTTGTGTTCCTATATCTCTCTTGTTTGTCATGTTGTGTTCCTATATCTCTCTTGTTTGTCATGTTGTGTTCCTATATCTCTCTTGTTTGTCATGTTGTGTTCCTATATCTCTCTTGTTTGTCATGTTGTGTTCCTATATCTCTCCTGTTTGTCATGTTGTGTTCCTATATCTCTCTTGTTTGTCATGTTGTGTTCCTATATCTCTCTTGTTTGTCATGTTGTGTTCCTATATCTCTCTTGTTTGTCATGTTGTGTTCTTATATCTCTCCTGTTTGTCATGTTTTGTTCCTATATCTTTCCGTTCTCTGTTTCATCTCTTACTTTTGTGTGCCATCATTCTCATCTGTTCCTACCATGGCTCTTGCTCTCTCCTTTTGCCTCTCCTTCTTCTCCCCAGTTCCCTTGTCTGTTATTGATGTCTTCTCTCTTGTTTCTCTTCATTCTCTTTCCCCTCTCCATCCTCTCCCTCTCCTCATCCATTCTCTGTCATTTCCGCTCTCTATTCTTTCTCCCTCCATCCATTCTCTTGTCATTTCCCCTCTGCATCTTCTCTCCCTCCACCCCCATTTATTCCCTCACTTGTTTCTTTCTCTTTCTCAATCACTGCCTTTATCATATCTCTCTACTTTTAACACTTCTTCACTCTGCCTTCTTCCTATCTGCTTCCTCCCCATGATGATAAATTCTCCTGAGGAAATATCATTATCCTGAACTTTTTTTTTTGCCCCTGCATTAGGAACTTTTGTGACAGCACTGCTAAATGAGGTAGAACTTATCGTCTTTTTATTTTGCGGAGCTGCCTGCCTGTCATTAGGACCTCGCTCATTAACACCCAGATTCAATAGATCTCTCCGGGAAAGTCCCTTTGAGGTTGTTCCAGTGTGATTTTTTTTTCTAATGTAGGTTTTTGTCTTTTTTACAGGAATTTGGGATTTTATTTTATTGTTATTATTAATAATATTTGGTAATTTATTGTGAAAAATAGGTTATTGTTTTATTTTGAAGGTTAAGTTACATTGATTTATATGATTAGTTATTTGCAAGCCCCAACAACATAAGTAATTAAGTACCGTAGTTAGATACATTAAATTTCAATTCCGAGAAAAAAAATTTCTAATCTTATCTCACCGATTTTGCTGAAAATCTCTATACTATGTACAGTACTCCTGAGCATGGTGATTAAGGATCTGTAGTCCACAATTGAATATCTGTATAATTAGTTAAGCAAATGACATCTCAATAAATTTAATTCATTTATTTTCTAACGCTAATTACTTATGGTTTTCAAGGTGACTACCGACACAACAGAAGTCATGGTGTTCATTTTTAAATCTATCGAACCCCTCCATAATTATACCTTTTGGAACGAGTTTACATTTACCCTTTAATTGCAGTTTCCAGCAACACAAGAGAGCAACCTATATAGAATCTCTGAAGTCAAATACATCCACCCACATTGTCATCTTTTCTCTTCTTATTTCTTTACTGCCACTGTCATAACACCCCTCACTCGCTCTATTTAAGTTAGTCCAGTATTACAAACACCTTACCACCAACATACCACGACATGGTTCAAGTTATTCTCTTCTACAACCTGTTTATAAAATAACAAAAAACTTGTAAACTGTTGCCAGCCATGTTGTACCCCAAGACAGTCCCAGCCATTGTTCACTGATGAGGCGCTTTGAGGGAAATAAATTGCCTGTTGGCCTCACAAACAAACTCGTAAATACAAGACTTATACCCATGCCCTGCAAAATTCTTTCATGTTGTTGAAATTACATGGGCGAAGTTCACAATTGAATTATGTTAAATGTTTGTGATGTAAAGGACTGGGGATTACTATTAAAATTTGACAACACTGTGTGACTTTTTTTTTTTTTATTGGAGACGGAACAGAAAATTATTGTAACATATTGGGTTGTCTCTCTCTCTCTCTCTCTCTC